TGGCAGAGCCAGCAACCAAAGCCCCTAGCCCCAAAACAGCTGAGCCAAAAATAAACCCTTCTTCTCAGCTACAAAACCCTGACCCACACAGTGCTTTTGGGCAACTGCCTACTTGATTTCTGAAATTGTATAGCACTGTCCTCTTGCCGGGTGCATTTCATTCATGGCCTTGGATAGTACATGGCTGTTTGGTCCACGAGATGCATGTCCTTCAGTTCTGGAAAAGCCGTGTGTGTGTGTGTGTGTGTGTGTGTGTGTGTGTACATGTGTGTGAGTGCATGAGTGTGCACACACGCACACCCACACCAGTCCTGGTGTTTGACCTCAGGGCCTAGGCACTGTTTCTTAGCTTTTTCTGTCACTCAACAGCTCCACTTCCCTGCTGGATAATTGGAGATAAGAATCTCATGGACTTTCCTGTCTGGACTGGCTTTGAGCCTCGATCTTCAGATCTCAGCCTCCTGAGTAGTTAGAATTACAGGTGTAAGCTGCTGATGCCTGACCCGGGAAAGTTTTCTAGCGCCTTTCTGCTTCCCAGCTACTCCTTTGCTGCACATTCTGAGTGTGTTGTGGAGAGAATAAGACCAGGGCTGGGCTTCCCCCCATTTTCTTCTATTCACTGCACTGCCTCCAGCTCTTGGCTCTTTCTGGGCCCGTTCACTCCGGTTATCACCCTTTGCTACACACTCGTTTCAGACAAAGGTGTCTGAAGTTCTACGGGTGCCCAGATGCAATGATTCATGCCTGTAACCCCAGCTACTTGTGAGGCAGAGATTGGGGAGCTGAGAGTGTGAGGTCAATCCAGGCAAAAAAATGTCATGGATCCAGGTGCTGGTGGCTCACGCCTGTAATCCTAGCTACTCAGGAGGCTGAGATTGAGGACTGCAGTTCAAAGCCAGCCCAGGCAGAAACGTCTGTGAGACTCTTATTTTCAATTAACCACCAGAAAACCAGAAGTGGCACTGTGGCTCCAGTCATAGAGTGCTCGCCTTGAACTGAAGAACTGAGGGACAGTGCCCAGGCCCAGAGTTCAAGCCCCATGACTGATAGAAATGAAGGGAAAAAAAGTTACTCAGACCCCATTTCAACAACAAAGCCAAATGCAGCAGTATGCATTTGTGATCCCAGCTACATAGAAGGCTAAGCAGAAGCATCACAATTCAGACCGCTCGAATTTTTAAAACAAAAGAAAGGAAAGGAAAACCCTATCTGAAAATTACTACCAAGTGGTAGAGAACCCACCTAGCAAGTGCAAAGCCCTGAATTCAAAACCCGTGTCACACACACCTACACATTTAAAAAAAAAAAAAAAATCCAGCTGGTGCTCAAGACCAGACCTTGAGAGCAGGCCTGCCTTTTGTCAAGAACACCAAGATGGTATCATCTGTAAGGCCTTGCTCTACAGGGGCTAAGAACAACTTGTTTAGAATTCTACCTTTCACCAGTCCCTTGTATCAGTCAGCTGCAGCTGGGTAACAAGTCACCACAAAGCTGTTTCCATGGCAATGATGACCATCCCAGATAAAGCCCTAGACAGCCACAATGGACAGCCCTAGCTGGACAGACGTGCCACTGGTTCTCTCCCATGCTCCTGGGCAGTCGTGCTGCACACTCTTGAGTTGGCAGAATAACAGACCCTGAGGGTCCTGGAACATTCTAGTGTTGCCCCAAGGCAGGTGCTAAAGGGACGCAACCCATGCCAGATCCCCGCACAGGGGCGAGGCGGTGGTAAGCTGCTATGGGGAATAGAATCGGTGGCTGCCTGGCATAGGGGAAGGCCTGGACCTAAGTGTGCCTGTGTCGCCTGCTGTGATGTCTGGGTCCTCTTGGCCCTGCGCCTCTCTAGGGCTCTGTGAAGTCACCACCTGGCTTCTGTTCTGTCTGTTAACCGATTCCCCACCCCCACCCCCGCAGAGACAGGCGTGCCCTCCTCCTGGTAGATCATTTACACCGCTCCATCTGTCCGCTCCTTGGTGCCCTAGCACTGCGTGGGGCTACAGGTAGTTCCTGTCTCTCTGAAGATGTTTGTGGCTGTTGTAGATGCTTCTCGGCAAGAGGGCAGGAGGCCTGCCCTCCCCTCTCCCCAGACCTTGGCCTCTGCTTTTCTATGTTGAAGACCCTCTATGATGCGTGGATGGAACCACCTGGGGGAGGATCCCCTGCCTCTGAGCTCTGTGCAAGACTGGCACCTCACACCATCCCCCTCCACATGGCTGCTGACCAAGGGAGAGATGGCAGGGTGAGGGCAGCAGTGGGGAGGGCAGAGTGGGGGGAATTACTGGACACTGGGAGACCAATGGGCCCACTGGTCAGTGAGTCGAGGCGGGGGGCAGCGCAGGGGGCACCAGGTACCTGACGTGGAAGAAAGAGCATGGAATGGCCAGACTCCCCCGTAGCGGGCTCTGGAGGAAGTGGCTACCTGGCAGATGTGTCCTGGCTTCCAGACCATGCCCCGTTTGGAGCTCAGCTCAGCTGGCACTGATAGCCGCCGCTGTCTAGGAGCGAGGCCCCCGGTGCCAGCAGCATCTTACCACACCCAGTGGCTCTTCCTCTTCCCAAACTCACTGTCACTGCCTTCCTTTGCGGGTCCCTTCTCTGAGCCCTGCCCCAGCCCTCCACCACTTCAAATAGCAGAAAGGAAGGATTCAGAGATAAGGGGGAGACGCAAGAGCACTGGGAAAGGGGGGCAGAGCCTCATTCTGTGATGCCACAGGGATAGAAGGTCTGACACAGCAGCACAGACAAATCAGTGGTCCTATAACAAGTAGCCATTGGTACTGGTCAAAACTGGGACCCAGGGGCTGGGAAGGTGGCTCAGTGGTATTGCGTTTGCCTTGCAAGCATGAGGCCCTGGGTTCGATTCCTCAGCATCACATAAGCAAAAAGAAAAAAGCCAGAAGTGGTGCTGTGGCTCAAGTGGTAGAGCACTAGCCTTGAGCTGAAGAGCTGAAGGACAGCGCCCAGGCCCAGAGTTCAGGCCCCAAGACCGGACCCCTCCCCCCCAAAAAAAAACTGGGACCCAGGCTCTGTTCATCCTTCGGCCTCCCCATTCAGGTTTTTGTTGTTGTTGTTGTTGTTTTGTCCATCATGGGGCCTGAACTCTGGGCCTGGGCGCTGTCCCTCAGCAATTCAGCTCAAGGTGAGTGTTCTACCACTTGAGCCACAGTGCCACTTCCAGCTTTTTCTGCTTATGTGGTACTGAGGAATCGAACCCAGGGCTTCATGCATGCAAGGCAAGCGCTCTACCACTGAGCCACCTTCCCAGCCCTGCCTCTCCATTCTGAGCATTCAGCTTATACTATATTGATGTGCTTGGGACTTGGCACTCCCAAGATGGCTGAGGCAGCTCTAGACAACTCATCAGTATTCCAGGCAGGGAAGGAGACAGGACAAAGGGCAATGTCGGCTGAGTCCGTGGCTTGCTTGCTTATTTATTTATTTATTTATTTGAGGAAACACAACTTCTCCCCAAAGCCAGCTGGCTTTTTTTCCTGTGTGACCTTGCAGCCCTAGGTGCAAAGCCTGCTGGGAAAATAATCCTTTTGTCTGGTGCTGGGTGAACTGCTGCCCATGGAGCAGAGGGCGGGAGGGACCCACATGAGCTCTAGGCCTTAAACCCTACTGTCTCCCTTTTCCTCCTTTACCTGTCATGAAAGATGATTTGGAGGATTCAATTAGATAAGACAAGACTCTAGTCTGATGGTAGAGGCACTGAGTGAGGGGGAAGGCATTGAATGAGGCTGTGGCCAGGCCCCCAGGACCACCAGGTGGAGACTGGAATCAATCCCAGGTCCACAAATAGCTGGGAGACGCAGGCTGGCTCCAGGGGCACCCAAGCTTTCCAAGCCTCCTGATCGGGGAACCGGTCCTTCCCACTGTCAGGACTTTTTTTGTCTGTGTGGTGTGTTTGGTTTGACACTTTTCAAGGCTAGCACTCTACCACTTGAGCCACCGTTCCAGCTCCAGAGATTAACTTGAAGATGAGTCTCATGGAACTTTCTGCTCAAGCTGGCTTTGAACTGAGATCTTCAGATCTCAACCTTTTGGGCAGTTAGGATCCTGGTGGTGGGGTCCTGCCTCAGAACTAGGAGACTGATCAGGCATGGCGGGGGAGGGGGGGGGGATGGCTGGAGTTCTGGGATGGTGGAACATGGAACGAGGCTGACAGAGGGCTTCTGGCCGTGGGGTGGCTCTAGAGTGTCAGCCTGAAAGTGGGGACTCTTGTGTGGCAGTGTCCCACACATCTCTAGCCGGCCCTGGCACAGAGGTGGTGAGCAGCAGCTGTGTACTGGTGAGAAATGACAAGCTTGGCTAGACAGAGCCACCATCATGAGGAAGGGAGGGCTGATGTCCTGCAAGAGAGGGGACAGAGGAGGGGACAGACTCAAGGCCAGACCCTTGTCACTACCCACAGCAACCCACCGCTCGTCAGAGCCCTGCTTCTGCTGGGGCCAGACTCGTTCCTGTGACCTCGGATTATAGCTTACTGACACTCAGGTTCTCAAAGCCCTTCCATCCAGAGTGGAAAGCAACTGCTCCGCCCTCTACCACTCCCGCTCCAAGGTCTGGCCAATCAGGACACCACGTCCCTCTGACGAAAAAAAAATGATTGGTTGAAGTTTGTCCAATCAGAGTATACTTTCATTGAACGCATGTGATCCAGGCTTGGCCAATCAAGGCACAGCATCCCTCTTTTAAAAAAATGATTGGTTGAAGCATGTCCAATCAGAATAAACTCTCATTTAGTGCATGTGGGCCAAGCATGGCCAATCAGGGCACAGCATCATTCTGACAAAAACATGATTGGTTGAAGCTCATCCAATCAGAGTCAACCCTCATTAAAACTTGGGGGGGACACTTGCTCTCTCTCCCTGAGGGTCATATGCTTGAGAAGGAGCCATCAGCAGAAGACAGAGCCAAGACATACAGAAAAACAAACTTCAATGAAAACGTTCAACCTCCCCTGACCCACCCTGGACCAACTTCACCTGAAATCATGATAGTTCCAAACATGAATGAAGTTTATTTTCCATATAAGCAGGTTGAGTTGGGCTTTCTATTTGCAATAGCAAAAGTCCTGACTGGCAAGTATGAAATTTCTGAGTCTCTCAGGCAGACGAAGCTCAGGTCCTGCATACTCACAGCAAGCCTTGAGAGATGGCAGAGGGGCATGAGCCCAGACCCTTGGCTGGCTGGGCAGATACCACAGAGATTTACAGAAATTGATCTGTTTTATATTATGCTCTCCAGAAAAAGACCAGAGGATCAAGCTTCTCAGCCACTCTTTTTCACTCCGGGGAAGGAGAATGTTCAGAAAAGCTGGTCAGTAGTTACTGGAGCAAGAACCAAGTCCCAGGAGGCGTGAGAATGCAGCCGGGAACCATGAGGCTAGAAGCTCTGGGAGGGGTGTCGCACGGGCATTTGCTGCCAGGTGATGGGTGCCTTGCTGGGCCCCAGGGCTCCCCTACAGTCCCTGGAAAGGTAGAAGCATGCGGGGAAAAGATGCAGGGTCTGCAAACCCGCTCTCTCCCACCCCAGGGGGCTGGGCAGTGGGGAGAAGACAATTCATCAAGCTCAGCACCCCCCCCACACACACTAAGAGCTACCACAGGGAGGGGGCCGCATGGCCAACCGCGGCGCCATCTGGCTTTGGGTGGGGGACCAGAGGATAGAACCGTGTGGGTGCCAGGGCCGGGGTGCCCCCTGCAAAGGAGACAGGCAGCTGTGAGTTCGAGGGAAAGGTGGAATCTACAGAGCTCAGCTTTCCTGGCTTATAGCTCGTTCCTCCCTCTGGGTCTATGCCCACCCATCAAGACTGCTCTCTCTGCTCCTCCCACCTCCCCACCCCTCCACCCTCTGTTGCCATGATGGAGACTGGGGCCAGCTCAACTATCCGAGGTGCTTCAGCTGCAGGGGTGGGCCAAGCAGCAGCCCCAGGGCCCCTGTACCCCAGCTTAGGTGACTGGGCCTATCCTGACACACTGGAGATTTCCTGTGGGAAGAGGGCTCCACAGGTCAGGACTGACCCAGGCCAATGACAAGGTGGTGGGGAAACTGAGACACCTCAATACCCTCTGTGCATCTGGCCTGGCCTGGATGCCGCTCTCCGGTGCAGGCACTGGCCTGGGTTGGTGGGAAGGGCGGAGCAGCAGGGGGCGGGAGGGGGCGGGGCCGAGGCGGAGCACCTACCCCTAGAGGAGGCTGCAGAGGCGGGGCCGGGGGCGGGGCAGCGGGGGGCGGGGCCGGGGCGGGGCCGGAGCACCTACCCCTAGAGGAGGCTGCAGGGGCGAGGGCGGGCGTGGCAGCGGGGGTGGGGCGGGGCCAGGGGCGGAGCACCTACCCCTAGAGGAGGCTGCAGGGGCGGGGGCTGGGGGCGGGGCCGGGGGTGGCGGGGGCGGGGCCGGAGCACCTACCCCTAGAGGAGGCTGCAGGGGCGGGGCCGGGGGCGTGACAGTGAGGGCGGGGCCGGGGCGGGGCCGGGGGCGGGGCACCTACGCCTAGAGGAGGCTGCAGGGGCGGGGCGGGGCGTGGCATCGAGGGAGGGGCCGGGGGCGGGGCCGGGGCACCTACCCCTAGAGGAGGCTGCAGGGGTGGGGCGGGGCCTGGGCGGGCCGGGGGCGGGGTCGGGGCACCTACCCCTAGAGGAGGCTGCAGGGGCGGGGCGGGGCCTGGGCGGGCCGGGGGCGGGGCCGGGGGCGGAGCACCTACCCCTAGAGGAGGCTGCAGGGGCGGGGTGGGGCCTGGGCGGGCCGGAGGCGGGGCCGGGGCACCTACCCCTAGAGGAGGCTGCAGGGGCGGGGCGGGGCCTGGGGCGGAGCACCTACCCCCAGAGGAGGCTGCAGGGGCGGGGCGGGGCCGGGGCGGAGCACCTACCCCTAGAGGAGGCTGCAGGGGCGGGGCGGGGGCGGGGCCGGGGGCGGGGCCAGGGGCGGAGCACCTACCCCTAGAGGAGGCTGCAGGGGCGGGCGGGGCGTGGCAGAGAGGGAGGGGTCGGGGGTGGGGCCAGGGCACCTACCCCTAGAGGAGGCTGCAGGGGCGGGGCCGGGGGCGTGGCAGCGAGGGCGGGGCCGGGGGCGGGGCCGGGGGCGGGGCACCTACCCCTAGAGGAGGCTGCAGGGGCGGGGGCGGGGCCGGGGGCGGGGCGGGGCCAGGGGCGGAGCACCTACCCCTAGAGGAGGCTGCAGGGGCGGGGCTGGGGGCGGGGCAGCGGGGGCGGGGCGGGGCCAGGGGCGGAGCACCTACCCCTAGAGGAGGCTGCAGGGGCGGGGGCGGGGCGTGGCAGCGGGGGCGGGGGCGTGGCGGCGGGGGCGGAGCCGGGGGCGGAGCACCTACCCCTAGAGGAGGCTGCAGGGGCGGGGGCTGGGGGCGGGGCAGCGGGGGCGGGGCTGGGGCGGGGCCGGCGGGGGCGGGGCCGGGGGGTCCTACCCCTAGAGGAGGCTGCAGGGGCGGGGCCGGGGGCGGGGCCGGGGGCGGGGCACCTACCCCTAGAGGAGGCTGCAGGGGCGGGGCCGGGGGCGGGGCACCTACCCCTAGAGGAGGCTGCAGGGGCGGGGCCGGGGGCGGGGCCGGGGGCGGGGCACCTACCCCTAGAGGAGGCTGCAGGGGCGCTTGGGCTGCCGCGTGGGCTGCGGGCACAGCACGGCGCGGATGGCCTCGTCGAAGACGGTCTTCAGGCCCCTCTGGGTGAGAGCCGAGCATTCCAGGTACTTCACGGAGTCTGCGGGATGGGGCCCAGGCTGAAGTCTGTGTCCCAAGACACAGCACCAAGCACCAAACGGGGCCCCTGGGAGCTCTGTCACCCTGAGCAGGAGAGTTCTCATGTGGGCCGTGGGGCTGGGAGAGGGGAAGACGTCGGGGCAGACCTGTGCCATTAGACGCTGCCCTCCTGCTCCAAGGATGAGGCTCAATGGCCCCTGTTCTAGAAAGCAGCCATGGGCATGCGCCAACCTTCCCAGGGTGCATGGGCTCCACACCAAGAACCCCAGCTTCCATTTGCCTGTCCCCTAGCACCAGCCCCTCACTGCCACATGCTGGACACAGAACCTCCACCCAGGGCAGCCCAGGTGAGTGGGGGGCCCCAAGGGGACTCCAGACAGCACCGGCCCTGCCAGGGACAGGCCTGGGGCCAGGAGAAGTCCTGGGAGTCCCCATTTTGCAGACAGGAAACCGGACCAGAGAGGGACAGCCATGAGCCCAGAGGCTCATGGGAAACAGGGAGCAGGGACCACAGGAAGGGCCACTCCGGTGGGGAGGGGGGAAGCTCTAAGGCCAGGCTGGGGCTGGGCTGGGAGACAGGACCAGGGACAAGGAGGAGATGGAGCTTCAAAGTCATTCTTGGCTGACCTGTCCCTGACAGGCCCCAAGGCCCTTTCTTCTCCAGGAGGAGGTGACCATGAGGCCCACCTCGGCCCCTGGCTGCCTCCTTGGGACTGGCTCCCATCTTGGCCAACTCGGACCTGAGGGTTGGCCTCAGGGGACAGAGCAGCTGCCCCTGGCCTCCTGGGCCCCCGGGCCTGGCCTGGCCTGACCAGATGTGCTCCCACACGACACGCCAGGCTGACGTGGACGGAGCCCTTCCTGGAATCAGGCTGGGACGTGCCTCCTTCCTCGTCAGTCTCACCGAGACGCTCATCACCACACTTGATGGAGGAGGACACTGAGGCTCCTCAGACTGAGATGCCCACCAGACAGGGAGACCTGAGGCCCAGATGGGGGCAGAGCCACTAACCCCGGGTCACACTGGAGCTCAGACCAGAACCCTCCCGCTGTCCCATGCCACGGGAGGCGGAAGTGGAAGATCAAGAGTTCAAGGCCATCCTGGGCTACAGTGAGGGATTCTGACCCAAAAAAAAGAAAGCAAGAGAGAAAGAGAGATCCTAAAACCTAAAGGGTCCGGAGTGGTCAAGAGCCTAGCATGAGCTGGGTTGGGGCTCCATCTCCCTGCTGTCTGGAAGGGCCCGAGGACTGGGGTGGGAGGAGGGGACCCACGGGTAAGCAGCGATGCCCAGGGCAGGTCATGTCACAGGAAGAAGGGCTGCGGTTTCTCTTCCTGTAGAGATGCCAGGCCCCTCCCGTTTCCGTACAGGAAGGGGTGGGCTGAGGGGTGGGGCCTGCAGGACCCCCTGGGGAGGCAGGGGCAGGTGGTCTAGGGACAGGCTCAGAGCCAGCAAGCCTGGGAAAACCACAAGAGAGGAGGACCCAGAGTGGACTCCAACCCAGTGCAGGCCATCAGGGCCGGGGAGGCCCCTATCCACCCCCAGAAATCCACTTCCTTCCTTCAGATCCTGCTCAGCTGCCCCTCCCATGGCCTGGGGAATCCTGTCACTGCCCTGCCCTGTGGCATGGCCGCATGGGGAGGAGGGGAGGAACGTGGCACCTTTCCAATCCACCGCCTCCAGGAGGCCCTCCAGGAAAGCCAGGCTGGACCTGCCCATCCTCCACGCTGCACAGCCCAGGCCATCTGTGACCCCAAACCACTCCTGCCTGTCCAACCTCATCCCTTGTCTCTCCAGCCACCTACAGATGTGACCCACACACGGTGCGGCGGCTTCGTTCCCTTCCTTCTCCCAAAGCCAGAGCTTTGGGGCCAAAGCCAGAGCTATATCCCCAGTTCTTCAAGATGAGGAAACACAGCCCAGAGAGGTTAGGTGACTGGCCCCAGGTCACACAGCTAGCCAGAAATTGAACCATGTGGCCTAGTCCTGAGTGGAGGCGGTGTCAGACCCTCCCCCCCCCACACCCAGCACCCTACCGATCTCCTTGGCCAGCGCCAGGCCCTGTGGGTAGGTGATGGGGGCCAGCTTCTTCTCTTTCAGCTTCTCGATGGTGTCCTTATCATCCCGCAGGTCCAGCTTGGTGCCCACCAGGATTATAGGGGTGCTGGGGCAGTGGTGGCGTACCTCGGGGTACCACTGGGTGAGGAAGGAGGGTGCCCCGGGGACAGCAGAGGGGCGGGAGGGGTGAGGAGAGGACCGTTTAGTTGGGCCGGTGGGCCAGAGTCACGCGGGTGTGGGGACAGAGATAGAAGGATGTCCAGAAAGAGGGGACAAGATTTGAGCCGGAGACAAGAGGTGGGCACGAGGCTCCCTGGAGATAAGGGCGTGAGAGGGGAGGGAAGGAAGGGGGGACGGGACGGGACACGTGGAGGGGGCGGGAGCCTCTGAGTCTCATGCCTCCACCCCTGTCCCTACCAGACATTCTCTGCCATGGACTCCGCTGCCCCGGGCCAGGCCTTGGGGTGCCAGTCCCTCCGTCCCTCTCCCTCCCCCTCCCTCCCCCTCCCTCCCCCTGTTCCCCCTCCCTCTCAGCTCACCTTGGCTCGGACATTCTCGTAGGAGGCGGGACTGACCAGAGAGAAGCAGATGAGGAAGACATCCTGGGGACACAGTGGACCCGTGAGGGAACCCAGACATGTCCGAAGCCTGCCCCTACCCCCCATGCCCGGGCAGCCATGCCGAGGAGCAGCCCGGGCTCCATGAGGGGACTAGGGTGTGGGCAAGGCCCCGCCCCTTGAGCATCCCGCCCCGCCCCCTTCCCCTCAGTGGTCCAGTCCAGCACCGTTGGCCAGAGGGGCCTGTCCGGCCAGCGAAGGGCAGAGGCTGGCAGTGCTGTACCAGGCTCCAGACGAGGCCTCTGCCCACACAGGGCCGGCGGAGCAGGGCAGGGCCGGTCTGGGCTGACGGGGAGAGGCGGAGTTGGCCAGGTCCTGCTGGCCTGGCCGCATCTGAGGGCAGGGAGGCCCGGAGGCCGGGGCTGCCGGAGGCCGGGGCTGCGGGGGGCCGGGACTGCAAGGCCGCTCACCGTCTGGGGGTAGGAGAGTGGCCGGAGACGGTCGTAATCCTCCTGGCCAGCCGTGTCCCACAGCCCCAGGTTCACCGGCTTGCTGTCCACCATCACATTGGCTGAATAGTTGTCAAACCTGCCAGGAGTGGACAAGATGGGAACGGGGCCAGCCAGACTCCAGGGCCCAGGATGTCTGGTTCACGTTGATCTACTCAGAGGCTGAGACTCAGAGAAGGGCTGCAACGGGCCCAACGTCACACAGCACCATACAGCTGGGCTGCCTTTCATGTTTATTCCTTACTGACTCATTATAATAAAACATTTAAAATATCAATAAGCCAAAAGAGGATAGTACTTCTTGATCCATTTTCTGCCATCCCCTGTCTCTCGGAAAGGTCACGTTTGGGGCTGCATAATATTCCTTCTGGGATTTGATGAGCATGAACCCCAGCTGTGCCAGAGTTTATTCAATGGCTGCTCAGCCCAGAAGCCAAGCCTGAGACAAGGGGATGTGCAGGGGTGTGGAGGGCCCCAGGAGCCTTGTGGAAATGCTTGCCCATCATCATGAACACTGAGACCGACACTGAAGAGCAGTCCGGCAGAGTTCTGGGCCCAGCGAGGCTCACCCTGCCCGTCGCCCTCTGCCCAGGTCCAAATAGCCCCCACCATCCTGACCGGTGACCCCCGCACTCTCCAGACCTCAGCCCCTGCCTGTGCCTGGAAGCCCTTCTACCCCTTTCCATTCTGGCCTCCTATTCATGCTTCAAAACCCTGCCTGAGAAATCCTCCTCCATGCAGAACTTCCCTGCTCCCGCTATGGAAGTCCCCTTCCTCAGGCCATGGCTCAGCCTGGACCTTGAGCAGGTATTTAGTGTCTCTGTCCCCACTGAAGGCAGGGCTCCCATGTGCCCCCCCAAAAGAAAACATCAGAGCCAGGGGTGTCACAGGGCGCTGGCTCAGCAACGGACAGGGTCCTGGCTATCTCTGAACTCCTCCCACAGCCTGGAAAGCTCTGGGAACAGCACCCCAACTTTCCACACGCCCCTCCCTCCTCCTGCTGGCTGCCTGACTCTTACTCACCCTTCCGGAGCCTCTCCTGACCCACAGCCACCATTGCCACACCCCCCCCCAGCTCTCCCCGGGGACTCGGTACCCCAGGGTGGGCCCTGCGTGTTCCACCAGCCCCTGAGCCAGCCTCCAGTCCCCTGTGCTCGCCTGCCAGGGCGCTTCCCGAGGAAGGAGCCATGCCAGACACCCCCGGTCCGGTGGGGACACAGGCACTGCTGCTCAGGAGGCTGAGAGCTGAGGACTGAGCTTCAAAGCCAGCTCGGACGGGAGAGTCCATGAAACTCTTCCAGAATAACCAGCAAAATGCCTGACTAGAGGTGTGGGTCAAGAGATAGAGCACCAGCCACGAGCAAGCAAGCCAAGAGTAGAAAGTACAATGTGCAAGCCTCAACACTAGCAATTAAAAGAGAAAATGTGTGCTAGTCTCGGGGCTGGAACTCAGGGCCTAGATGCTGTCTTTGAGCTTTTCTTTTTTTTTTTTTTTAACTCAAGATTAGCGCTTTGCCACGTAAGCTATAGCTTCTGGCTTTTTGGTGATTAACTGAAGAGTTTCATAGACTTTCCTGCCCAGGCTGGCTTCAAACCAGGATCCTCTGATCTCAGCCTCCCAAGTAGCTAGAATTACAAACATGAGACACTGGTGCCTGGAGAAAAAAAAAAAATTAAAGGAAACAAAGACAAAGGAAACGCAGCTTTGGGACACCTAGAGGGTGTCCCAGGCCCAGAGTTCAAGCCCCGTGACCAAAAAAAAAAAAAAAAAAGTCCAAGGCCAAGTGTGGCACTGAAGAGGCAGAGGATTAAGTTTGAGGCTGGCTTGGGCTACACAGTGTCCTCTAACATCTTGGGCCCAGAGAGTCCAAGAGTCCTGGGGGTCTCAGAGCCACTGCAATGAGAGAAGGCCTGGGCCCGGTCACAGCGCCCAGGCTTCGGGTGGGCGTTGTGCGATAGGTCCTGTCTTCCACAAGATGGAAGACAACAAGACTACATGCGACTGCTATCAGACAGATGGGGAAATTGAGGCCCCAGGAGGCTAGGTAGGTCTCCCAAGGCTGGCCAGCTCACAAACCTAGGTGAGCTCCGCCCTGCCTTGCCTCGTGCCAGGCCCCAGAGGATCACTAGGGACTCTTCGCCGGGGCCAGCGGTGTGACTCCAGGTGCATGCCCTGGCCTCGCTGAGAACCCAAAAAGAGAAACGTCCCTCTCCCCTGGGGCTGACAGGAGGATCGCAGGAGACAGCAGGCACTAGAACCTTCCGTGAAGGAGCTGACCTCAGCAATCTCATTATCTATGACCCCAGAGGCCTGTAGGCCTCTTCCTAGAGAACCAGGATCGTTCCTGATGCTGAATTCCTGGGGCCTCCATTACTTGAGAGCCTCCCACCAGACGAGGTCAGCCAGGCCCAGGGCTGCCCTTCCACACCACAGCAGCCAGCCTTCCCTCCTGTGTCCAGGGAGGAGCGAAGGGTGATGGGAGGAAAGGGACTTGCCGGGACATCCCGCCAGCCCCGTGAGCAACACAGCTATTTGTGGCTGGCCACAGCGGCACCACGGAGAGTTTTCCATGGGGAGGAAGGCAGGAAGATGGAAGGACAGGGCGGTCAAGATTCTTGGCCTTTGCAGTACAAGGCTGGCCTGGGCGTTTCTGCATAAGCTGGCTTTGAACCCTGATCCTCAGATCTCAGCCTCCTGAGTAGCTGGGATTCCGGTGTGAGTCACCACACACACCTCTTTAAGATCTTCCTTTGGTGCTGTACTTGAGTTTGAACTCGGATGCTTTGCTAGCTAGGTGCGCTATCATGGGAGCCTGTCCCTTTTTAGAGCTCACCTGGGCCTTGTCTTTCATGGAGTTATAAGGAGAAGGTAGACGGGGTCATCCCCCACCCATGTCACAGGATGGGGTCCTGCTGCCATCCATTAATATCCAGCACAGGGCCACTTCCAAAGCAGGCTCAGTCTCCTGATCTGAAAAGGAGCCAAGCTCTCCTGGGGCCCTCTGGGATGTAGGGCATAAATCAGCAGGCTATAAATGTCAAGGCCGAAGGGAGGGGTGAGGAAGTCCTGTCAGCATCCTTCCAGAGGAAGGCCACTGGCCTCTGAGGTGGAGGGGGGGGAGGTAAGAGGGATACTGAGGAGGCGGTGGAGAGAGCCAATCAGGAGCTAGCTCCAAGGGTCCTGATGCCTGATTGGCTGGCCGGCAGTACAGCCCACCCCTCCCCAGGTATTAATTCCCAAGCTGCACGTTCAGGTCCCGCCCCTTAGCTGCTCACCCTCCAGGATTGGCCCAGTTCAGCACCTCAATTGGTTCAATTGCCTGCGGCAGGTCCTCCCCCAGCCCCATCTGCCCCTGGCTCTGAGCTCTCCGGCTACCTGCTTTCCCAAGCCCCCCTTTTCCTCCACCTCCAATGTCAAGTGTGACTTTTTTCTCTCTCTCAGTCCCAGGAGCACAGGCCCCTCTGGGCCTAGTCCAGGACTGAGCAAGGGCTGGGCGCTGGCAGACAAGGGAGGAAGGATCTGGGACTGGTTAATCCTTCCCGGGACTCCACATTTCATCACCAGGAAGCGTTGCAAGATGGGGCCAGATGCCCAGACCTTCTGTCAGGGGCCCGTCCCGTGGGTGGCTCCCCAACAGAATCAGCCCTGACCCAACCCCTTCGAGGGCCCAGCCGGGTGGAACGTCAGAAAGACTCTCGCCAATTAACCACCAGAAAACCAGAAGTGGTGCTGTGGCTCCAGGTGGTAGAGCACAAACTTGGAGCCAAAGAGCTCAGGGACGGTGCCCAGGCCCTGAGCTCAAGCCCCATGGCCAAAAGAAGAAAAAAAAGTTTGAGCAGTGGGGACCCCAGCAACCCTCCACTTGGCCCTGGGCTCTGAAGCCAGGCTGGCCAGTGACCTTGGGGGATGGGCCACTTAGCTGCTGCGAGTCTGAGCTTCTGGGGGAACTCTGGTACTGTAACACCGCCTCCAGGAGGCAGGGCTGGCCCCCAGACCGGAGGCCCCGATGGAAGCCACCGTGCCTGAGTGAGATGCTGAGCTGGGACAGGGGGCTCAGGGGAGCCCTGGGTACAGCACAGGGGCATGAGAGACCGGACGGCTTCCTGGAGGAGGGGGCACTGGAGCGGGGCCTGCTGGCTTTTGTCACAAAAGCACTATGGGTAGAAGAGCCTGAGCAGAGGCCCTGAAGTAGGAGTGCTGGGAACTCAGAGCACGCTGCGCTTCAGACACTCAGAGGCCGAGATTGGAGGACTATGGTGCGAAGCCAGGCTCGGCAGACAGATCTGAGAGACTCTTATCTCCAGCAGAAGGCTGGAGGTGGAGCAGGGGCTCAAGTGGTAGAGTGCCAGCCTCTAGCAAAAAAAGAAAAGCTCGGAGACAGTGCCCAGCCCCTGAGTTCAAGCCCCCGTGGTGGCACACATAATAATAATAATAATAATTATTATTATTTTAAGGAACTCCCGGCAAAGCAGGGAGCCATGCTGGTGATCTGAGGGGGTAGGGGACTTCTCTGGGGGTGACAGGAGCACTGAGGCCACAAGCCACCCACCCCCCTCCCTCTGGGTCACATGACAGCCAGCTGCCACATCAAGGAACAGAGCTGGCCCCGGCCGCGACCCCCCCACCCCCCACCCCCCACCGGCCTCCACTCAGACCAGGCCCCTGGTCCCTTTTCTACCCTGGAAACAGCCTCTGGCTCCCCACAGCCATGCCCGACCCCCACCCCCTTCCCGACCTCCCAGCGGGTCCCGCCCCAGGGCCTCACTCACACGGTGGGGATGTATTCTCCCGGGAAGGCGTTGGTGGTATAGCTGATGAGCAGACACGTCTTGCCCACGGCTCTGCAAGACAGGAAATGAGAGGCTGCGAGACGGCCATGGCTCTGCCCGAGGCCTGGGGAGACCTCGGGGCCCTGTCTGGGCCTCCACTCCTGCATCCTCCAGCCTGGGCTTCCAGGAGGTCCCAGCATCCTCTGCTCCAGGCCTCAGTCTCCCCAGCTGAGACATCGGGCCAAAGTCACCCGAGGCCTTTAGGGAAGTGCAGATTTGGGGGTGCTCACCCCGATTCTGGTCCCTGAGCACAGTGAAAGTGGTGAGTCAGAGGGTTAAGACTCGAGACGGCACCCACCAGACCCAGATAAGGCTTGGGGGACCCCTGGGGCCTGAACTGGGCTCTGCTCTCTCAGTCTTGGGTTCAACTCTCAGCTCTACCACCTACAGGTGGCACAGCCTGGGGCAAGCCATCTAGCCTCCCTCTGCCTCCGTTTCCTGGCTTTGGCTTCGAGCCTGGTGCCCATGACAGCCAGCCAGGCCTCTTAGGGAAAGCTCGCACCCCTCCTTCCCCAACTCAGGTTTTGAGATGTGGGTTCAAATCCTCTGAGGTCTTGGAAAATTACTTAACTTCTCAGAGCTTCGATTTCTCACCTACAAAAACGGAATCTGTGAGGTTGGGGTTGGTGAGAGGTGAAGGATAAAACAGAGAGAGAAGCCAGGCGCCGGTGGCTCCCGCCTGTCCTCCTAGCTACCCAGGAGGCTGAGATCCGAGGGTCACGGTTAGACGCCAGCTCAGGCAGGAAAGTCCGTGAGACTCTGATCTCCAATAAACCACCAGAAAACCAGAAGTGGCACTGTGGTAGAGCGCTCGCCTTGAGCTGAAGAGCTCAGGGACAGCTCCCAGGCCCAGGGTTCAAGGCCCACAAATGGCAAAAACAAAAAACAGAGGGAGAGAGCTACACCTGTGCTTGCCTCCCCTCAGGCTGCGCCGCAGTCCAGAGCACCTGCCAGGCCGGGAGGGGGCAAGAGTAGCTCGGGGGGGGGGGGGGAAGGGGGGGAGGCCACGGGGGTCAGCACTGCTCCTCACCCCCCCCACCCCTGCTCTGCTCAGTCTCCTCACTTCGGGTCTGAGTGGCTGCTCCCCTCCTTCCCCTCCCCACCCACACAGGTGGAATGAGTAGAGCATAAGCCTTGACTTCTGCCCCCTGCCCAGTTCACACACACACACACACACACACACACACACACACACACACGAGCAAGGTGGGCTTCTCCCTGCCCCAACCCCAGCAACTCCATCAAGGTCAAGGCCAAGCCTCAAGGACTCAGCCAGGAAAGAGCCCAGGGGCCCCTGGGAGGCTGCAGGTTCTCCCTCCCAGCGGTCTCGCTGCAGAATGGGGGAGCAGGCTAGAACCCCTGGGAGGAGCAGAAGGGCCCCAGGGTGCACCCGTGGGCTGGGCCCTAATACGCCTGGCCGGCTGGCCTATGTTGTACTCATTCTGCAGATGAGGAAACTAACCCAGACCGCCCCACCAAGGTCACCCCTCCATGGCCTCCTCCTGCCCCACCCCTGCCCTCCGCCCTCCCCTGCCCCGTCCCCTGCAGTGACCAGAGCCCAGCTCAAAGGACAAATGGTCAGCCGGCCTCGAACCTGCATCTGCACCTGTACCTTGGAGCTGGGCTTTGTGGGATCACAGCCCCAGCTCTCTTCTATAGCAGGAGCCCTGGGACTGCCACCCACCCACTGTCCTGTGTCCCCCCCACACCCAGGTGGCTTCTGGGGAGGGGCGCGCCGTCCTCACCCACCCCAGTGTACTCTCTTAAGAAAGGAAGCGACTCCCCAGCCTTCGGGCTCCCCCAGCCTCCCGGCTCCCGGGTGTCTCAGGAGGGAACATGGGGAAGTTCAGCCAGGTACCTACCCATCTCCCACCACCACGCATTTGATGGCCTGCATGGTGTCCGCAGCCGCAGGGACAGGGGTGAGCTGAGGGCTGAGAGGTCTGTGTGGGGGGCCCGGGTGCGGAGAGGCAGGCGGGTGCCCCAGCTGTGGAGGCAGGAGGCGGGAGGAAGCGGAAGGGGAACTTACCCAACCCGGGCTGCTGGCCCCACAGGCTGGCGGCTTGCACAGGGCGGGGCATGTGGTCTGGGACCAGCCAGGGGCCCTCAGGTGCTGAGCCCAGCCCTGGCCACCCCCTGGTGCCCTCTGGGCTGGGAGACCCCACTTCCTGCCCACAAACAAGCAGAGCCTGAGTCCTCCAAGGACCTGCAGCTTCCAAGAATTCGCTCCGCCTCAGGCCTGAGCACAGGCATTAAATGAGCGCCTACTGTGTGCTGGGCATAGTACCAGGGGGCTGGTGACTGGGCCAGGAGATACCTGGGCACACAGGCGGTGCCCCCCCGAAAAAGCCTGGCCCAGACTGGGAGTGCAGGGGTGGCAGTGGGGAAGGAAGGGGAGGGGAGAGGAGAGAGAGGATAAATGGGGGCCCCTCAGTACCCCGCCTGGCCAGCCTTGAGCAGCCCGCGGGGCCCCAAACCCTGGCAACCAGAGGCAGCTGAAATCAATGCTGTGGTCAAGAGGCCCCAGCTGCCATTTGGGGGTCAAAGCCCGAGGCCCACAGCTCAGTGAGGGGAAGAAGGAGGTGTGCGCCCCGGAACAGGAAACACTACCTCCCCCGGTTGGGTCCAAGGTCACTGTCAGGATCACGGCCCACCTCAGCAGCCTCAGGCTCCCTGGAGGGAACTGGGGAGCGGGAGGAAGCGAGGGAAGGGCCAGGCTGTTCCCCACGCTGGGAAAACCCCCCTTCCCACCTTCCCCGAGGGGCACCAGGAGCCCCATCCTCTCCAGAACTTTCCACAGAGATATGCATCTGACTTTCACCAAGGATCGCCGAAACACTTGGCAGCCATCTGTGAAAACGACCAGCCACGGATGCCCACTGAGCTTCAAGTAGATGGCACAGACTCTTTGGGGGGGCCCTAACCTGGATCAGGAAACTGAGGTCCCCCTTGATCACCTTAGAGTCCCTTTCCTTATTTTCCACACTTCCTCCCTATCTACATTCTTTTTCTCTCCTGCTGTTAAGCCATAGGACACCCCAGTGCCAGTTAAAAAACACAATATAAGCTGGGCACCATGGCTCACGCCCATAATCCTAGCTACTCAGGAAGCTGAGATCTGAGGATCACAGTTCAAAGCCAGGTCAGGCAGAAAAGTCCCCAAGACACTTATCTCCAATCAACCACTCAAAAACCAGAAAATGGAGTTGTGGCTCAAGGTGATAGAGCACTAGCCTTGAGCAAAAGGGCTCAAGGACAGAGCCCAGGCCCCGAGTTCAAGCCCCGTCACAACAACAACCAAAATGATGCTGAGATACCACCTTACCCCAGTCAGAATGGCCCACATCCTAAAGTCAGCCAACGACAAATGCTGGAGGGGATGCGGAGAAAGAGGAACCCAATTACACTGCTGGTGGGAATGTACACTTATACAACCACTTTGGAAAGCAGTCTGGAGGGTCCTCAAAAAGCTAAATATAGATCTCCTCTATGACCCAGCCATACCACTCCTGAACAACAGGAACCCATATACAAGGATACATATACCTCCATGTTTATTGCAGCACTGTTCACAATAGCCAGGATATGGAAACAACCCAGATGCCCACCACGGATGAATGGATCCAAAAATTGTGGTATCTATATGCAATGGAATATTATGCAGCCATTAGAAATGACAAAATAATGGCATTTGCAGGGAAATGATGGAGCTAGAAGAAATCATGCTGAGCAAGGTAAGCCAAGAGCAAAGAGACAAACAGCACATGGTCTCCCTGATAAGTGGATGTTAAATCCAAAATGTTAGGTGATACGACAAAATTAACAGGACTTAAGAAACAAAGGACTTCCACTCATCTGGTCGAATCACTACTAAATAACCCCATGCTGCTGATCACATACATGGTATATATGTGCACACGAGAGGGAAACCAGGAAGACGACACAGAACTAGAGGGAATCAGGGAAAAACACACAACAGCGGGACCCATCAGCTGCACAGGACATTGACCAAAATGAACTAAGCAACTCAATGGCAGCGATGGGAGGGAGGGAACAAGTGGGAAAGAGGGAACAGCTGATGTTATGCAAAACAAAGGAAATGTACATACCACCCGATGTGGAAAAAATAACTGTATTGCAAAACTCATAGAACTCATAAATGTTATAGACCACGATAGACCATTTGCCCCATGAAAGTTAGAATATGTTTGCGACTTTAATCATCACTATCCCACAATACTGTTAGATTTGGGAAATTATGTAACCACTTAATCACAATAAAGAGTTTGAAAAAAAAAAATAAGATGTAGCCAGGCACCGGCGGCTCATACCTATCAGGAGATATGAGATCCAAGGAGATCTCAGGAGGCTGAGATCCAAGGCCTGCACTTTGAAGGCAGCTTGAGCCAACAAATCTGAGCAACACTTATCTCTAACCAACAAAAAGCTGGAACTGGAAGTGTGGTTCAAGTGGTAGAGTGCCAACCTTGAGCAAAAAGGCCAAGAGACAGCGTGAGACCCTGACTTCAAGGCTCGGTACTGGCCAAGCCACAGTAACTACAGTAACTGGAACCCTGGATTGCACCCAGAGCAGAGAAGAGAAAGAGAAAATGCAAATCAGGTCTGAAACCTAGCAGGTGGGGAGGCGCCAGGACTCAGCTGGGACCAGGGCGCGGGCGGGCGGCAGGCGAATGAGGCCCACACAGGGGAAGGGAGCTGGCTGCTGGCTGCTTCATCCCCAAGAAACAAAACCAGCGTGTGGGGTGGGGGGCCGGCACCCCTCTCGGAGCACAGAGCCGAGGGGTGAGGGGCATGGCCGCAGGCCCTGACGAGCAACCGATGTGCTGGGCTTTATCCTTCCAGACAACCCTGCCCGGGCATGGCTTCCTCAGGGCCAGCCGTACACAGCCGCGGCCGCCCCAGGACCGCACCTGCTCCCATTCCAGCAGGGGTGCTTCTCCCCCATAGCACAGGCAAAACCCTCCTCGACTCAGAACCAGCCCCCATCATTCCGCACGAGGAGTCCCACGCCACCTGAGGGCACAGCTCTGGGCACAACGGGACGCAGAGCCCCAGGACAGCGGCCATCGCCGCACCTCTCCAGTGTGGGAACGCGGCTCGAGCACATGACCCCTGCGAACCCCTACATCCATCGTACCCATTTTACAGATAAGCCAAGTGAGGCACACGAGCTCACCGGGCATAGTGTGCGCCTTCATCTCCTCCTCCAGGAGTCCCGTTCCACAGACAGAAACACCAAGGCCTGCCGGGGACCGGTGGCTCACGCCTGTCATCCTAGACGCTCAGGAGGCTGAGATCTGAGGATCACGGTTCAAAGCCAGCCCAGGCAGGAAACTCCCTAAGACTCTTATCTCCAATAAACCACTAGAAAACCGGAAGTGGCGCTGTGGCTCAAGCAGTAGAGCGCTTGCCTTGAGCTGAATGAAAAGCGCAGGGACAGCGCCCAGGCCCAGAGTTCAAGCCAGAAAGAAGGAAAGAAGGAAAGAGAGAAAGAGAGAGAGAGAGAGAGAGGAAAGAAGGAAAGAAAGACAGAAAGACAGACAGACCAAGACAGACAGACAGACACCACAAAACCCATAGCCACCCAGGCCGAATGCCTGCACCCGTGCAGTCACGTCCCCCCAAACCACACAACCCACACGCGAGCTCCGCCCTCCAGCATCCACTCGATTCGTGGGTCTGTCTGACTCCACCCAGGAGCCAGGAGTCCTGCTTCTGTTTGCTCAGCTCCACAGCAGACCTTTCCATCCAGCTGGGTCAGCCCGCCGGCCTTGCACTTCTGTTCTGGGGGACCCTCTGTTCTTCCGTATACATTGTGGATGAAGCCTATCAGGTTCCCCGAAAGGCATGCCCGCCTTCCGTTCACATCTAATGGGAGCTGGGAAGATTGGTTCTGGCATCTGCCTGTCAATCAACTTGCAGCATTTCCCCTCCAGAAAGCTCACGCCCTTCTTCAAGTGATTTCTCTCGGGATACCTCATTACTTTGGGCACTGTGATAACTAATATTTTTATTTTTATTGTATTTTATTTGTCTGGGACCAGGACTTGAACTTAGTATCTGATGCTTTTACTCCTTGGCTGTTGCTCTACCACCTGAGCCATAACTCCAACCCCATAACAAATACTTTAACATTGAACTTCTTTGCTCTCAATATGTAGTGTCAAAGTTTATATGTTGAGCTCATACATGTAAAAACCTCAGGTGGAAATTCTCATGATAATTTATCTCCAGATTGTGCTACTTACCAATGTAACACTGTCTTGCTGACAAGCCTTATTGTTTATGAAAAATGATTTCTCCTTCCTGATCTATTTTTTCAGTCATGGAGCTTGAATCCAGGGCCTGGGTGCTGTCCCTGAGCTCTTTTGCTCAAGGCAAGCTCTCTACCACCTTGAGCCACAGCACCACTTCTGGTTTTCTGGTGGTTTATTGGAGATCAGAGTGTCACAGACTTTCCTGCCAGGGCTGGCTTTGAACTGTGATCTGAGGATCCTCAGATCTCAGCCTCCTGAGTAGCTAGGGCGATGGGTGTGAGCCACTGGTGACCAGTTCCTTCCTGATTTTTTTTTCCACATGATTTCTTGGGTCCTTTGGATTCTTTTCTGCAGGCTGGAATTGAATCAGAGGAATGGTAGTGACAACAACTTTAAAGAAAATGCTGCAATGCTGTACCATTGAAGCTGGCATTCCCTGCGGTCTTTGAACAGATCCAGGAAAGAATTCCCTATGGTTCTCAGTAACGCGCCAAGTTTTGTTTGTATCATGTTTCTCTGTGCTGGGTGCCGGTTGCCCACATCTGTAATCCTAGCTATTCAAGAGGCTGAGAACTGAGGATCGAGGTTCAAAGCCAGCCAGGGCAGGAAAGTCCTTGAGACTCTTATCTCCAATGAGCCATGAAGATCCCGGAATGGAGCTGTGGCTCAAGTGGGAGAGTGCTAGACTTGAATGGGAAAGCTCAGGGACAGTGTCCAGGCCTGGGTTTG